CCATATCAGCTTCAACATTCACGGGAGCTTCAACCACGGGAGAAGGGAAGTCCTGAGTTTGCTAACTCCGACTCCAGGTTGAAGTTTTCTTAGCCAGCTTCAGTTAGGGTATCTCGACGTGAATTCAAAAATGCCCAACTTACCTCAACAACAGATTTTCCTTCAAGGGTCTCATAATCCTTTTCCCAATCATCAATCTCATTCTTTAGCTCTTCATTTTCAGCCAAGGCGGTGTTGTAAGAAGCTTGAAGAGAGGCATGAGAGCTCTCTAAAGCACGAACCTTATCAGCCAAGACTCGAAGGTCTTCTTGTGCTTGAGTTAATCTTTGCACGAGCTCCCCAGCATAAACTTTTTTTTGACTCAAAAGAGCCTTCAACTCTCTGTTCTCTTCGCTGGCCTTAGATAGTTGCTATGAGAAGGAAAATTCGAGACGTTCTTTGTCTTTTTCTGTTTGGCTTGAGGAAGCTTTTGCAACCGCTAACTCTGAAGTTAAAGCCTGCACCTGCTGCTCTAAGGTATTCTTGATTTCTTGTAAATCTTCCATATCAATTTGTGCACTCTCAAATTGTTCCTTCCAATTGATTGCCTCCAACTGAGAATCACGTGCTACCTTCTCCAAGAGAGGGATTTTGTTCATCATTTCTATGCCGATAAGATTGGCCTAAAAAAAGAAAGGGAAATAAAAATATAAGAATCCCAAAGTTAAATTTTTTTTACAAAGTAAAGAAGGGAGAAAAGGAAAATACCTTCAAAGTGGCATGCACGATATCATTCATTAGAGTCAGGGAACTATGGCTCTCCAACTTTGCTTTTTCAATTGGACCGATTAAAGGTTCCAGCCATACATCTGCCTGACCTGACTTCCTCAAAAGGCTGCTATCAGCAGGAACTTCAATGGTTACCCTCCTCATAGCGACACTTCTACTTGAAGAGCCCACTTCCGTATGGTGAATGGTAGGAGGGGGAATGGTCGAAGGAGGAGCGGTACAGGAAGTGAAAACAGTAGAAGAAGGAACAGAAACAGTTGGGGCTGGTAAGGAAGGAATTACGGGCACGAGAGTTGAAAAAGAAGATACAAGTATTTTATCTAAAACAGGCCCTAAACTTCCACTACCAAAACCACTGAAGAAAAGTTGATCAACAGACTCATGAGTATCATGGGGAGTGACGTCATCGTCAGGAATTATTACTGGGGTTTCAACAGGTTCGGTAAGAGGAATAGAAAGACGAGGGAAAACTTCAGCTTCGTCATCAGAGACGATACGTCTCCTAGCTCGTGGCCTCGTCACCAGGGAACCCCCTTCTTCCTCTTCTCCAGAGTCTTCTTCTTCAACAGTTTTCCTTTTTGCAGAAGAAGAACCCAAGACTACTTCTCGGGCTCTTTCTAAAGAGATACGGGTTCCCGAAGGAGTACGGGTTCCCGAAGAGACACGAGAGGCCGCAACTGCTTCAACAATAACTCCTCGAATAGCAAATCCTGATAAAAAGAAGGATGGAAGTTAGAACAATAAAGAAAAATATATACATGCGTGAAAGATGAAATAAAAACTCTTACCATGAATCTTTACTTTCCAACTGTAACGGTTAGAAAGTGTTTTTCAAGACCTACCATCTATTGGTGCGGTCTTCAGCAATTTATCTACCCAACTACAGAAATTGGGAATATCCTCCACCACTCCCATCGTTGCTAAAAAAAAGAGCAAAATTAGAGAAGTTGATAAACTTGAAGGAAAAATGTACGAGATGGATAAAAGCCTTACGTGCGAAATTCCACTTCTCAGGGAAGGGAACGTTATTCTCACCCACTAAACCAACAGTGGGGGCAGCAACAAATCGGGCGTACCAGCCACGGTCCTTGTCATCTTCAGGGCTCACTAAAACCCTCTTACTCCTGGCCACTAGGGTAAAAACGCCATTACGGAAAGGTCTAGGGTGTAGACATGTGATTTTTGACCCTCCTTGAGATTTTCATATTTTAGCATGTAAATATTTAATTTAGGCCTAATATAGCTATTTCAACTATTTTTGACTTCTTTACTTTATTTTCGTCATAAAAATGGAAAATTACAAAAAAAAAAATATTTTTAGCTTACGTATCTTTCATAAATTTAAATAAATAAAAAATATACAAAAATATTACCTTTATTTTATCTTTAATATTGAAAATACAAAAATACATAATAGTTTCATGTTAGCTTTTGCATTGTGTAGTATTTTTATCTTATTTTAAAGGAAGTCAATTAAGGTGTTGAATCACAATTTCAAGAGCTTTAGAGCCTAATTCTTGGCCCAATTCGGATTAGTTCATTAAGCTTAGGGACTCTTTTAGACTCTTCTTTGGAACCAAAAATAAATAAAAAAGACCCTAAGGACTTAACACAAAAAGACCTAGGGACTAATTCAAAAATACACAAAAATAATAACCAAAACCTAGACTCTATATAAAGAGAACAACCTAAAAAATCAAGAGGCAGCCGTTTCAAAGAGGATCAGTGAAAATACATACAATTAGCGAAAACGACACACAAAAAGCCATAAGAAAAGGCTGACAGAGGACCTAAAGCTGACAGCTGCAGATCGGACCTACCACCCATTCCATCTCCTGATCTTCTTATTCATAGAATAAGCGACCTGCTGCCATGGCTTCCTAGCCAAAAACGCAGCCGGAAATCACCAGCAAAACAACTTCAAAATCAGTCCAAACTCAGTTCTGAAACCGTCTTCGAAGTGAGGCGATGTTCGAGTTCGCCGGTCCGAGGTTCCGACGAGGTCGTTTGAAGTTTCCGGTCTATTTTCGGTCAAAGTTTTCAGCTTTCTCGGTTTGAGCTCATCGGCCGTTGATTTTAGATGCTGTAAATTTTAAGCAAATGAAAGAACTTTATTTCACTCAAAGGTTCATTTTCTTCACCTTCCTCTATGAACCTCTATTTCTTAACTGTTGTTGCTCATTAGTTAGATATTTTCTTTTATGATTTGTCAAGATATTATTTTCCTGGTTATTCCCCTTCAATTGCTTTGTTTGTTCTTTTGATTTACTTGGTGTATTTGAAGCTAGATTAACGAATGCTCGAGACTGTGAGTTGTTCACCTACATGCTAAATGCGAGCATGATATTTCCATAGCTTAATAATTCTCTTCTCTAACCCATTTGATGTTATCTTTCCTGATTATTGATAGAGCTATTGTGTTATTTGATATTTGAGAGAATCAGAATGAGGGATTTTAATTTAATTTGGGGAGTAGGATGGGCAGACTCTTTTAAAGATAATCTGTTGGGTCCTGGATAAACTAGATAAGGATTCGGGCTTAAGTCACTTTGGTTGGTTAGCATTTTAAGGGCTTCAAGGCATGAACGTATTAATCAAAACTTTTCTCCTTTCTCTTTCCTCCATAACGAATAATTTCAAATAGCCAAACCATAATGTAGCCTCCAACTCATCCCAGGTCCATGATCCATGACCGTAATAATCTCAAAGTTATTTTTTAGGAAGAAACAATTCAATTATGAACACGCGCAAGTTGCTTTAGGCGCGCTACTTAAATTAATTTTCCTAAACTCGGGTGTGCATTTCGTGTGACCCAACTTCAATTCTCGACAACGTTAAATAAAATATATCGTGGACCGCGGGTGCATTTCATGTGGCGTGGTTCAAGGCGTGTTTTAAATAACGTTGAATCTTCCTGAAAATAATTAAAAGCGGTTAATAAGTTAAAATTTGCACATAGGTTCATAATTGTTTAAAATCAGATAATTAAGCTGAATATAACAGTTGAACGACTGTGCTAGAACCACGGAACTCGGGAATTCCTAACACCTTCTCCCGGGTTAACAGAATTCCTTACCCGAATTCTGGTTCGCGGACTGTAATATAGAGTCAATCTTTTCCTCGATTCGGGATTTGAACCGTGTGACTTGGGACACTATAAATTATCCCAAGTGGCGACTCTGATTTTAAATAAAATAATCTTGTTTCGATTGTCACTTTAACTTGGAAAAACTCTCTTATACACTCCCTCCCGGGGTGTAGGNGGGGACTCAACACAGGGGTTGGGTCCGTCTAGGACAGGTGTGCCCGAAATAACAGACCATCTTGGTGCATCCTATGTGCTATATGTTGCATTTCTTCTAGGGTAAAAGGGTTATTTGGCGGACCAATGATAGTTGTGGGCAACTGAAAAAATGAAAAAAGAAAAGAAAAAGATAGGGTGAAGTGTGAAGATAAAGCGAATAGGGCCCAATTATGTTTTCTGTCACATTTTTGTTAAAAAAAGGCTTGAAAATTCCAAAAAAAAAAAAAGATTTTTCACTTTTTCATCATTTTCCGAAAATCAAAAATCAAAAAAAGAAGGAAAAATAAAATCAAAAAAAAGATGTTGCATGTTTCATCATTTTCAGGGAAAAGGCAAAAAATATATTTTTCTCTAAATTAGTTTTTTTTTTTTTAATTCTCGCTCGTATCCAATCTGCCCGAACTACGTATATCTAATTCTCGTCTTTCGGGGCGTGATACGTAGGGAACCCACATAGGGTCCGGTCTTCCTAGTAAATCTTAGGTTTTTGGCTTTGCGGGGTCTTAGACAATTTTTGCACTTCTAACCACTTTTTGGCCAAATAAGTCATTTTGCAAAAATAGCCTCAATCATGTCTTGCATGTGTCTTAGGGAATGTTATTGTCTCACATAGTGCTAGTTTAAGTTTTCTCATACAGGTGTGGATGTACTTACTGGAGTTTGAGCATGACAGATACCCCATGATCACTGCATCCAGGAGTTGCTCGAGGAGCCATTTTATGTTTTTGAGTCAATTGTTTTTATTTTATTTTCTAGTCCTAGTAGTATTTAGTCTTTTAGGTGATGTTAGAGTTTGCAATAGTCAGGTTAAGTTTGCCGAGTCTTTTGTTATTGTATTTCTTATTTTGTATGTGGAAATGTGTTACGAGTCGAAAATCCAAAAAAAGAAGAAATTTTGCGTTTTTGTTATAAGAAATAAAAAAAAATTCTCCTTTGAGATTTTTTTACTATAGGTAATTAATATCTAGGACTTAAAATGAATTGTTTTTATATTTCTTCTACTATATTGTGACCAAAATTAAAAAAAAAAAGAATTTTCTTTTAGTAATTCTTTAAAATCCTTCTTTAAGGTATTAATTCCAAAATCCAAAAAGATTTTCTTTTGAGGTGTTTCTTGGGGAAATTAGTGAAAAATGAAAAAAAAATTCTTTTTATTTTCATTAGAACTTTAGGATATTGTACATAGAAAAAAAACATATTTTATCCTTTGTTTATCATTAGAAATTCTTCTTTAGGCAATCAAAATTGAAATCCAAAAACATTTTGTTTTATCTTTTTCATTGCTTGTTTCGAAACCTTGCATCAGAATATCAAATGAAAATTCTAAATATTTTTCTGTATTTCACTCTTTAGATTTTCTTCCTAAAAAAAGGAATCAAAAATATCTTTCTCTTCCGGAGTTTTTCCTTAATAGAGTATTTGTTTCAAAGAAAAGAAAAAAATCCATTAAGCTTGAGTTTAAAATAGGTTATAGAACATTAAGTTTAGAAAATTAAAAAAAATATTTGCTTCATTTATTTCTCTTTTCTCAGCAGAGTAGTCATTAAGGTAAAAAGAAAAAGAAATAGAGAACGTCAGTTTGTTTCCTTTATTCCTGATCTTCCAGAACTATGCAAAGATCTGATTCATGCATGACCATGATACATAGGCAACCTACATAGGGTTCGATCAAATCATTTTTTTACTGTTAAAAGAAAAGAAAAAAAAAAGAAAAAAAGAGAGAAAAAAAGAGATGATATTGTGGGATGTGAGAAATGAGAGAAAAGAAAAGAGTGAAATTAGAAATAGAGGAAGGAAAATGATCAAGCAAGTGATAGAAAAAAACAAAGAAAAGAGAGGTTGAAATGAACAAATTGGGATGATGCCAAATGACCTTCATACCCTCGAAGTCATTTTAGAACCGATAATTGTGGCTAGGTGCATTGCACATAAAGTGAGATTATCTTATGTTAAATGCCCTAACGCTAACGTGATGGCTTCATTTTGTTATATCTTCATATTAGAAAGGTGGTTGGTTTGTGGTCCTCGAAGCAATAACTCCTCTCCACAACATAAAGTCAAAAGGCAATGGCAGACAACAACAAAACTGAGTTAGTTGATACAGATGCCCAAAAGCAATTGGTTGAACAGGACAATGGGTTGGTTGAATATGTGAGATGTTAAGACAACACATGGCAGACATGTATCAGGCGTGGATGATTGGGAAGGCACCATCCCCGCCACCACCTAGCTTCCTAAATACTACCCTTACCCAAACACCGGTCACAGTGCCAGATGATCCCTCATACTATCCAAATCCACCCGCTTATCATGGCTTTCCCAACCACCCTAGTAGCTCCGTCACTCATCTTCCAATTACCTTTCCCAAAAACTGTCCTCCTGTCTTATCCACCATCCCCAACAATGAACACCCACTCAAAGCTCACGATGCCCAATATTACCCCTCAAAGGTTACCCATAAGGTTCCTAAATCATACAAGTAGGGCCCGCGGGATGAACCTCATGTTGAAACTGAAAAGTTCACAGGAAGAAAAGGGTGAGATGGGACACCAGGAGGCCGAAAGGCATAGAACAGTCCTTAAAGAAAAACCAAGGAATAAGAGACCAGGGTAGCATGTATTACAAAGAATTGTTTATGTCCCCGACGTTCGTCTGCCTGCGGGGTTTAAAGTGCCAAAGTTTAACTTGTATGATGGGTATGGGGATACAGTAGCCCATTTGAGGGATTATTGCAGTAAAATGAGAAATGTTGGCGAGAAAGATGATTTGTTGATGGCATACTTCAGTGAGAGCCTGACTGAGGCAGCTTTGGAATGGCATAATCGTCAAGATGTTGGTAAGTGGCCTACATTGGGTGACATGGCTCAAGATTTTGTTCGATACTTTCTATACAGATCAGGTGTTGTTCCAGACTGCTCCTCCTTATTTCAAATGGAAATGAAACCCAAGAAAAGTTTTAGGGATTTTTGGCTAGGATGGAACGAACAAATTGCTTGGGATAGTCCTCCCATTGATAGAAAAGATGTTGGAGAGCCCCATCGACGACAGGGTCCAGTGGTCGTTCTTGCTAAACGCTTTCAGCCTCAATGTCGACCTCGTGGATATGCTTGTAATCCCCCCAATGCTACTTCTCCCCACAGAACTCCCAAAGTCGTACATCACTTTCCTAGTACCCTGTCCACAATGCACCACCATATTCTCCTCACCCACAAGGCCCGCGATGGCCCACACCACTTCCCCAAATGTCTTACCCGCCCCCACGCGCCTGCCGAATCCCCATGGATAAGGTTTCCGGCCCAATCAAGCATTTAAGAATGAGAGGTTGCTGAAAAAAGAAAAGGATTTCACCTTTATTGGAGAATCATATGCCAGTTTGTTCCAAAAGTTGAAGCAATTGGACATGTTGAAGCCGATTCATATAAAAATGCCAAACCCTCTATCAAAGAAGTTTGATTTTTCTCAAAGGTGCGCATATTGCTCAGATGCCCCGGGGCATAACATAGAGAAGTGTTGGAATCTGAAGAAAGCAATTCATAAGCTTATTGATGCATGCGACATTGTCGTGCAAAATCCAGATGTAGCAGACACTAGCTAAAGTCCATCGCCTGTGCATAATGAGGTGCATATGGTGGGTATGGTTTATTTTGGAAAGGAATGTGAGAATTCATCTGGAAGCCTCGGAGGTCCACGTGCTATTAAGCTTTCAGCGCTATCAGGGGTTGATCTTAAGAACGAGCCGGAAAAAGGAACCCAAAAGCAATTTGTTAAGAATAATGTGATGAAGACTTGTGGAGGTCCTAGTATTGCTGATGCAGAATTCAATGGCTAAGATACCGCGCTTGGTAATTGGAAAGATGTTCCATTTCTTGGTCAGTCGGAGAGGAGCTTGGTGGTTTAGTTTGTTGTCATTTCTGTTGTCCGGGTTATTGCAGGGTTGTAATCCGGATATCATCTTGTGGCTCAAATCCTTCTATCCTTTATTTTGTCTAGTTCCTTTAGTCGTATTATCTCACTTAGTGTTTTCTAGGTTTCTAACCCCAGTCTAGTTTGTCTGTTTTGTTGTCCAAACCCTTTCACCATCTGTCTAATGCAATTTTCTATTTTCTGTTATTTTTAGTCATTTTTGTTTAGTTCTCTTTTCCTTTTATAGTCCTTTTCCTGTTGACTCTAGTGACATGACATGCACGCGTAATTCTCAGCCTGGTTTTAAAAGTCAGTTTAGTCACGAAGCAACGAAACAATGTTGAAGATGTAGGGACATTTGAGGGAAATAAGTGAAGGCATTTTGAGATCACTTCAAGCTCGAATTGTGTGAAACTGAGACAGATAGAACATAAAAATACACTATTGAAATGCATCATGCTGCATCGGGTGAAGAAAACGACAAGTTTTCCCCAAATTTGTAGGGGGTCGTTCGTGGTAGTGAGAGTGTTGTCCAATTGTGCTTTGTCTGTAACAGATGTGGAAGGCGAATGTGTGGATATGGTCATCAAGTCTGATACAATCATAAGGTGTTACGAATGTTTTCCTTGGTTAGTTTAATTGTGTTGTTTGTACTTGGCATGTTTTGAAGATTGGAATGACGAAGACATTTTGTTCTGCTATCTAAACACTTTATCCTTCGTTACCCCTTTGAGCCTCATTTATTTTCTTTCCTACCCCTCTTTTGGAATCAGTAGCAAAGTTCAGAAACGCAACCGCAAAAGATAAGTAAAGGAAGAAAAAAAAGAGAAAGAAAAGAGAAAAAGAGAAAGAAAGAATGAAAAGAGAAAGAAAAGAATGAAAAGGGAAAAAATAAGAAAAACAACAAAAAGAGAAAAAGAAAGCAAAAAAGAGAAAGAAAAGAAAGAGAAAAGAGAAAATCACAACAACAAAGTAATTCCTCTGACATGAACTACGTTCGACCTGATTCATTTTAAGGATACGTAGGCAGCCTCACGGTTCGGTCCCATCAAAATAAAAATCCAAAAGTCCCCAAGCAAGAAACTAGGGTAGAAGTTGTGGTTGTTGTAAGAAATCTGATTCCAAAAGTTGTAATTTTGAACCCATGTGAATTGTTTTGAGCCTTTGACATCCTTTCTTTTTTAACCCTAACCAAAAGCCCACGTTACGGTCCAAAGAAAGACCTTCCGGTCAGTCTTCGAGAGGTGCCAAGTCAAGCAAGGAGAGGTAATTCATATCGGGGGCAACACTCTGGTCCAAGCAGAAAAATAATGAAAATGAGAGAGTCTTATTGGTGAAAACCCTCACAGGTACCGTAAGGCAACGAGAGTTGAAAAATGTTAAAAATGAGAGAGTCTTATTGGTGAAAGCCCACGCGGGCACCGTAAGGAGATGGTAAGTTTAGAGAAAGAATAGAATGAGGTAGGCTTGATGGTGAAAACCTTTCGAGCAGTACAAGTCGAATAAGGATTGTGAATCAGATTGGATAATCGGAGCATTGAAGTCCAGTTTCACAGTTCAGGGGTATAACAAGAGTTGAACATCAGACTTGTTTGACAGATTAGGCCACTTAATCAACATGTGCATGTCATGGTCATTAGAGTTGGTATCCACATCTGATAGGTTTCTACTTTGTAGTTTTCTTGTTAGGAATCATCTCTTTCCTTTGTCCTTTACTCTGTTCCTTTTGTCTTGTTTACTTCTTCTTCCTAAATCTGTTTGGCCAGAATAAGTGAGAAATGACTTCAAAATTTGCGACCAGCTTTCCTATTGTACAAAACGGGATCTGGCCCGCACATCAAAGTGGCATAAGTTAGGAAAGAACAACAAGCGCACTGAGTTGGTAGCAATCAACATGCTTTGGGGTCCATGAGAAATACAAAGGTTTGGTATATTTCAATTCGTGAACAGTGCAACAGATGGAGGGTGTAGGGTGAACGGATGAAAGGTATTTTCCGTG